AACAGAGTTCGAGTTCATTTTTTTGTTTCGACAAACTCTTTCATGCGAGTGGGCTTCTAAGTCTCAGAATCATAGCACATCGGCGCAATATATGGGACCTCTTCAAAATTCCTAGTACTACGTTACGCAAAGTTCTCGGAAAAAGCCAGTCGAGTTCAAGCACTCCTTTCTTTCCACTCAGGTGAGCACTTCGGCTAAGTTCCCATTCAGCCATATGGTTGGGAAAGAACTAACCACTGATTGTTTCGCCTCGTTTGGCAGCTAGAAGCAGTGGAGTTTCCTCATCTTCGTCCAGTGCATCCAACGAAGCGCCGTACTCATAAAGCACCTGAATCGAACAGTTGCGTTGTCGCTAGACGGTTATCCTTATTGAGGATGGACATTGCTCGTGGCAGCTTTGGTTTTTGTTGTAAATCTAGGAATGCCTTTTTCAGAGAAGATAGAGCTTCAAAATGTTGTACACATTGCTAGACGAGAGGGTCCATTACAAAAATACTCTAGAGAGGCGCACTTCAGTTATGGGAACATTTTGTTTCTCGTTGATGTGTCGACCCATCTAGATAGCCTTTTCTTGAGTTGACACGTTTTACCATGGTGGCTAGACGAGCTTGCTCCAGCTTCACAAGAGTTCACAAGTTTCCAGAGTGAGACTTGTAAACCGGAAGTAGTGAAGCAGTGAAAGTGCAAAATGCCCCCCCCCCTCCCGTCGCCGAACTGCGCCCTGTAGAGACTCAGAACAACCGAAAGTTTCAGGACCTCTTCATTTTGGCAACTTTCAGATCCAAAGGGGTTCCTGAGCACCACTATACTCAGGAAAAAGATTTCATTTCACTACTAAACAGCTACAATCTCACTATACAAGTTATGACAAAGGATTACCGTACCCGGCTAACTTCAATGTATCCATTAGAGCAGACGATATGCATAGGGGTCGTTTGGCTGTGATCCGGCTGATTGATAAGATCCGGTACCAGTTCGCCCTCGTCTTTCTGCTTCTCACGACATAAATCGAGAATGTGCTAAAAACAGTGGATTATTAAGGCACGAAATTGCACGTGCGGTAGAATCGGCAAGATTCGTCACGAATTTGATGATTTCAATGATGTAAAGGGCAGAGTCATAAACAGACGATGCGCTCAGTGCACAGCGGTCAGGCGATTCCTTTGAGATGCTGCACGCGCTGGACATCCATTCAGAGGCATTCAAATATCAAACTATTGTTCGCCCTGATAGCATACAGTAGTACTTCAGTACTGTAGTATGTCAGTATGTAGCAGGGTCAAGTATACGTCGCGAAATCAGTGATGTGTGAAGGATGTTATGGAATCTGGTGCAAGTGAACGTTTCAATAATGAACAGAGCAGTGATAACTTTTGGGGATATTGGCATCGTGTTCACGTTTCGTCATAAAACGCGGTGTCTCTGCCGAATCAATTGCATGGGAATGCATGAAAAATTAAGATAGTGTGAATAAAACGACCCCATAGATATAAGGTACCCTAGCACCCTTAAGGGAGGTCGTTCAGGTCGTGGTGAGCCTTTTGAAAACGGTTTGTTGCATGATGTAGGAGGTCCATGCATGGACCACACAGATGGGGTTCATTTTTGCTAAACGCTATTGGGAATGCCAAAAAAGGAATAAAAACAAATTGCTCAGAATAGGCAAATTTAATCACTTATTCGGCTCTGTTTTAGCTGTAAAGCTGAGCACCCTCCTATTGGACTGTAGGGTTTACGACGCCGTCGTGCCCTGAGGTATCGCCTCAGGTAATTCAGGGCTTAACCTTAAAACTTCCTGAAAATAAGGTCACAAAATTAAAAAAGTTTAGTAGATGATTGGATTCGCTATGGTTACCAGCTATCCACGGCTTAACTAGGGAGGTCGTTCAGGACGTGGAGCGCTTTTTGAAAACGGTTTTTTGCATGATGTGGGGTCACGTGCATGGAGTACCAAACTGGTGTTCATTTTTCCTGAACGCCTCTGGGAATGCCAAAAATGGAGTGAAAAAAAAGTCCATGGAAACCGACTGTTATTGAGCCTGAATGGGCTCTAAATCACTCGCAAGTTCGGCCAGTTGCGTCTGTTAATGAATTTTACTCGGATATCTGCCATTTATAGGCACATCCTAAATAGTTATAGCCCGTAGTCGGTGCTATTCAGCAATTTCGATTTCACATACCATTAAGCAAGAACTTGTCTGAAAGCTGAGCTTATGTTATTCGGTGCCCTGATCATGACTATGGCATTTACTTTCAGCTCTAGTGCCATTTATCTCCAATTTGGAGCCACGTCTTTCTCCCACTGGAGTCGCTATGTACATTCGTTTGAGGGACTTGCAGGGCCATTCTGACGCCAGATTGGGTTGACGTCAAGAATAAGATGTCGGAATCATTCACAGGACATCGTACCGCCTAAGGGCTCTCGAGAATTATTTTAACTTTTTTGAGTCTCCAGTGCATGGGTTTAGATAACGAGTCACTTTTGTTGAATCGTATTTACTGGTTATCAACAAATAACAAGAGCTGAGTACGGAAAACAAAAAACTAGCAACAACCATAAACGCCATCGAAAAAAAGAACAAAATAGTCATCATTCCTCCAGGTGCATTTGATGAAGAAATCGGATGAGTCTCTCCTCTTGGTAGGGGAGGACGACATCTTCGTTGAGCGAGAAGTCGTGGGGTCGACAAATGTCCAGGATGGTTTTTCACTTGTTCTGCGGCCACCCATGCCCATGCCAAGTATGAATGGACCTTATGAGCACCAAATCCGCGATACGGCTGCCCGGCGGCCCACCACGTCATCGCTACGTCATCGCAACTCCAAAGTTGTGGGTCTCCGGTCATCACCGACGACCAAATGGTCGGTCCCATACCACAACTCAAAAGTCAAAAAAATTTTTGTGGCCGCAAGCTCATATAGACTATATCAATCGACACCATGGTCCTGATCACGATTCTGACACTTATTCTTGACATCAACCCAATCTGGCGTCAGAATGGCCCTGCAAGTCCCTCAAACGAATGTACATAACGACTCCAGTGGGAGAAAGACTTGGCTCCAAATTGGGGACTACGTGCCACAAGTAGGACCCCATTGGCGACTACTTTTCTCCGATACCAATACCTTTATAAGGACCCCTATAGCGACAAACTGGCCGAAGTTTGCGCAGTATTTAGAGGGCCCATTCAGGCTCCACCACTCAAAAACAGTCGGTTTCCATGGTTCTTTTTCACTCCATTTTTGGCATTCCCAGAGGCGTTCAGGAAAAATGAACACCAGTTTGGTACTCCATGCACGTAACCCCACATCATGCAAAAAAAAAAAGCGCTCCACGTCTGAACGGACCTCCCTAGTTAGTACCCACGTGTGAAGCACTTCTTACAGAGCTTACCCTGAAACTAGGGCACCGCGACAGAAAAAGGTGTCGCAAACTTACGGCTGACCAAAATTAGGGGGGAGGTTTCGATAAAGCATTCTCGACAGGGGTTGGACAGTATTCGTCGTAAACACGTTACCAGCCAGATGTTCTTTCTTTCATGATCCCTCAATATTCTCAAATGGAGGTAGAGGTGATTTATTGGCAACTGGCAAACTTACCACGCGCATGGTTCTAAGATCAAAACCTCGTCCAAGCCAACCAAGCCTTTCAGCCTCCAGGGACGGTAAATTGGTACCAGATTTATCTGAGAGGACAGGAACACTAACTCCTACATTGGCTGGCCTCGCAAGTCATTGTATAGGCCACATCGCATTCTATAAGCCACCCCCCTACGGATTTCGAATGAAAGTTAAATGCGTGCCGCATCCCCAAAAAGGAATGGTGAACGCAATCCTTATATCAATCTCGAAGGATATCCCGTGACATCCGCTTCCTGCCGCTTAGGATGCAGGAGAATGAGGGAAATGGTGGTGGCTCCTAATGAGCCACCAGATACACTCCAGAGGCAGACATGCATGTTTTTCATATTCTACAGTTTTTGGCAAGATGATTTCTCTGAATATGATACGAATTTCCTCGGCAGATGTCAGGCAGGGATTTCTCGGCTGAACCGGGCCGTCATGCAGTGCTCAGCAGCAGTACTTTCCACTTGTATGGCCAGGTCAATCCTACTTTCACAGTAGCTGAAACACGTCCTCCTGTTGAGCATTCCAACGACAAACTTTGTCTCGTCATTGATGGGTACGTGAGGCGGCGATACTGCCCTCACTGGACGACGCTTTTTCTCCCTAGCATTAGTCCCGCGCCGTCGCGGGGTCCGATGTTCTTGTTAGACGTCGCCACTTGTTCCGATCCACTGCATCTTCTGCCGTAGCTTTCAGTGAGGTCCTTCTTATGAAGTCCTTCCATCTGTTCTTTGGGGCTCCTCGTGATCGCTTGTCCTCTAATTCGAATTCCAATGCCTCCCTTACTGTCTTCAGGCCTCCTCAGTACGTGCCCATACCATCGCAGTCGCTGCTCTCGTGCCTTCAGCTGGATCGGAGCCGTCTGTGTGACCGCCCTGACGTCCTCGTTTCTGACTCTGTCGAGTCGTGAACGTGATTCATTGTGCGTGCTTCATATCTGCGACGATATGGCACGGAACTGGAGTCGATAACGGTAGTATGTGGGTCTAGGATACAGTTGTTACAGCTATATTTCGTATGCACCTACCTCAGAGAATAACCTTGTATTGCAGTGAGGTTAGCAAAGATTTGCTCGAGTGCAAAATACATAGGTGCCATTATGCAAAAGGCGGTTTAGTAATGACTTTGTAAGACCCCAAATACTTGAATTTCGTTGACTCAGTATCATTCGAGTACCCAAATTTTCTCAGCATTGTTAGCACCAGCATCCACAATGCTTCACTGCACGATTTCTTTCGGCTTTTTCATAAATTTCGATTTATGGACCATTTAGCACCGCACTTTCATTCCTGACCGCTACTAAACATTGGGCTATCGAAAAATGTGGCCCACATCCTAAACTACCTGCATGCCCTATAAAAATTGCAATGGGTTCAACAAATGTACATGCGCAATCGTGACCAGTGAAGTCAGGGGCGTGTCATCGGGGCGTGGGTTGTGGCGCGGCACCAGCTCCTTTCTCAGCACTCATGGAACGCCCGAGCCGCAACCATCAATGGAAAACAAGTAAAAAAACTGATTGAAGGGTTCCCTATAGCCCAAGACCCTACGATCCCATGAGTTGGCCGATCCTCCTTGAGCAACGTTGTAGCTGAAGAAGGAAGACCTCCACATGGATCATTCTCATAAGCACCATTGGCTAAGCCTAACAGGAAGGGCAGAATCAGTCATGGGATGTGAACAATCAATTTGAAAGGTGAGCTGTGCATTTGATCAGTCGTTCGCGCTTGAGTTTAGTTGAGTTTACCGGAGGAAATTTTTCCTGCAAACGCTATGGATACTAGCGAGCCGTAATACACCTAAAATCACTGTCATGGGGTAGGCGTGGCTGCTTACTTGAACTGAAAG